ACCCCGTCGACATCCACTTTAATATTAGGTATGTAACCAACAAAGTTACTAACCCTATTATCGGCCATTCTACCCCTTCCCTTAGCTGATTTCCATACAAGGCCCCTTTTATTAGCGTAATTAATATGCATGAGGTTCAAACGGGACCCGGGATCAATGGGCACGTCAATTAATTCGTCGTTTATTCTGATTGTCCCCATTGGGACGTCGCCCACTTGCCTATCGAAATTGACTTGAACAGCCCTTACTATGCTAACATTAGTGTCCAACAAAGACACATCGGCTTCCCTTTTCTTCCTTGTTAGGGCCCTTAGTATTTCCACACGGGCTTTTGGTGACCATTTAAAAAGCTGACCCAAGGTTACCGTCATTTCAAGATCAGCGATCTTCTTCAAAACGTCAAGTTCTTGGGTCAACTCAGATAGAGGTATGTACATTGTCGCTCCTTTTATCTGGGATTCCTTATTGGTTGTATTCTCATCACTCCTGGTCCTTTTATCAGGTAAATCGGGAGCAGGTTCAACCTCAAGATGCTTACGCTTCCTTAGATTGTAGTTCCTTACATCAAATATCGGCTCACCCTTAACCATTTCAATTTTAAGATACTCATCACCACCATCGGGTGAAGCCTCGGTTATCTCAAAATATCGGACGCTGGCTCCTTGTATGTCAACACTTTCCGGATTGGAACTTCTTGCTTCCACATTTTGATTAATAGGTGGGTTGGGCGGGGCCCTAATTGGACAATTTCTTGATATGTGACCTTCTTGGCCACAATTGTAACACCTACGCGTGTTGGTTTGATTAGATTGACTACTCTGTGCTGGATGGATGGGGTTTTGCCTTTGTCGGCAATTCCCTTGGATGTCTCTTGGTTGATTTCGGCTGGGGCGATTTTGCTGGTTGGGATTGGGTTGATTTTTATTATTGGCTATGTCCTTAACAAGCTTGGTAAGTTCGTTAACGGTAGATTCTAACTTGTCAATCCTTTCAACGCCCTTTTCACCTTGACCGCCCTGACTAACTCGACGAATCTTTAATTCAGAAAAGGCATTAGCCAAGTCATCGACATCGGGATCCATCTGGCAAGCCGATTCTTCTCCTATCACGTTGGCCTTTTTCAGGTCGAATTCGTCACTTTTTTCATGCTTCTCGATCTTGATCGCCCAATCTTTTGTTTCCTCATAGGTCTCAGGGTAACGTTGCTTTACTTTTTCTCTGTACTTGGCCGGGAGGCCTCTGAGGTACCAACGTTTTACTTCACGATTGC